GGGCAGTCATTTCTGTGGGGCTTGCAATTCTTTGTACCTGAACCAAGCCTGCTGTTCTGTTCTGTTCACAAGCATGATTTGTATTGGGTAGAAGTACAAAACTACCCTGGCAAAATAGGGTAAATTTTGCTGGGAAAAATGCAGTTCTTCAAGTTATTTTTCATTCATGAGAAGTCAACCTCAACACTACTAACTCCTCTTAAGATCTTAATATGGTTCAAAAACCACAACAGTTTGCCTGTTCTGTGGCTTGTATCTAGGGATTAAAATTATGTAGCAGTCTGTGTGTCAGCACAAAACGCTTACTGTCCTGTGACACGGCATCAACATTGGACCTGCGTGTCCATTTCTAGCAAGCCACATGTAGTTTGTGTGCCCTATCTTGCCATCCCTGCTCTGCGATCAGATATTTATAGAATATCAGTGAAAATCTGTTTCCTAATGAACATAAAAAGAGTTAAAAATTGGGGTATAGTACAGAATTTGGCTGTGTATAGTGGATAAGTCCTATGCATAACTTTTAAAAAACGCTGTGAAGTTATGACTTTGTATAGAATGCTACTAACCTTTTTTTTGTAAGAGACTGAGTTGAATTTTCTCTCATATCATATGTATTAAAAACTTGATTGAAGGATCCTGATAACAGAATCTGTAATATTATAGGAACATATATTTATTTACCTTACAGAAGGAAGTAACCTCCCTGTTTATATCTGTGTATCAAAAAACTCAAGTGCTCAAGGATTCTTAATGGAGAGAATGGAAAACAGCAATGTTTTGTGTGTTAAAATGCATCATTTCTTCCACTTTAATTTTGGTGTGGAGTTTTCTTCCACCAGTCATTTTTTTACCTTCAACGGGAGGGTTCAGGCCCTTTAAGGAGGAAAATATTTTGCTTGTGTTAAGGGCAATATACCAATGAAGACAGTATAAACAAATAAGATCTGATAAAACATGAGTGGAAGTGAGTAGGCTAACAGCTTAGGGGGTTGCAGAGTGAATAAGAGGCCCTTTGCAGTCATCATTCAGAAAAAAAGGCACTAGAATGCCCATCATCATGAGGATGCCATTGGTTTGCATTTGGCTTTAATAGTTTCCAAAGGACAACTGTGTCTACAGTTGTAATTGTTTAAAACAACCTTGCTTTCTTCAAGGAGGAAAAGCAGAAAAAAAAGTTTGATGGCTGGTTGACATTGGAGTTGGAGTCACAAAGTTTGGTACTGTTCAAATATTTGTCATGCACTTTCTTTTACCCTGGGAAAGTCACTCTAATCTACCTTTGGGCTGTTTCAGTAGCAACTCTGACTGGAGTCAGCTATGTCTTTGGGTCCGGTTCAGAATCACCATCTATAGCATTATTGAGTGTGATACGCCATATTTATACATTCTTTAAAGACATATGCTCTTTAGTTGTCATTCCATGATAATCTAGTATTTTGTTTGATTGATATTAAAGCAAGAAGTAGGCTTCTTATTATGGAGACAAGCTTTAAAATCAGATCTAAGCATAACATGAAGACATTAATCCTGCAGGTAAATCATCTGCTATGAGAGGGGTAGAGAGAGAGAGAAGCAAAGAAGTCTAAGGATCCGAATGGAGATAAGGGGATTTTGAAGTCACCAGGCCAAAGTGGAAAAGATGGGCATAGTTTGATCTTCATTCTTAAAAGGAATTTAAGAAAAGTGGCAACCTGGCTAGGGTGAAGTAGGTATATAAGTGTCAGCCTAGCTATTTCTTCTTTCTGTCTTTCAAAACTTTGAAACTCGCACCTTGATTTATATATAGGATGAATTCTTTCCTTGAAGAGCCTTCTTTTAATTTAGGACCTTAATCCTGCAAGCACTTGGTCATGTAAACAGACCTCATAACAATGAATTATAAATCCAGTTTAATGGATATATGCACATAAATATTTGTACAATAATCAAAATATGGCATCTTTACAGTATTACTTCCAAAATTTAAGTTCATAAAGCTATTTATCTACAGTTTTAGACCTATGAATTTCTGCTAGCCAGAAGTCCTTTTCTGTTTGCAGTGTATTTATTTCTTTAGGTTTCTTTTTTGTGGTGTTTGTTTGTTTGTTTGTTTTGCATGAACAAGGAGAGCACCTGGGCCCAGACCCCCTTTGCATTGGGCTAAGAATGATGGTATTTCATGACTGTGTCCCCTTCTTTATGTTGCAAAAGCAACAGGATTTTCTTTTCTCCTCTTCTCCTGCATCCTCCAGAGTGTTGACTGTGTGACTTTGGATATGGGAACTTCTATGTAATAATAGGAAGTGTTTAGAATGGCTTTTAAAGTACTGAAAAGTTGGAATTGGATTACCTCTTATTACAGTTAATCCTAGTTGGAGCCTGAGCAGGGATAATCACCTTTTTTAATCCCTTTTTGCCACACAGAGGACAATAGAGAAGAATATGGAGAATCAGTGACTAAGAATAAGGCAGGAGAAAAAGAAATAATAGGTCAGGATGGACATGTATTGAGATGTGTACAGAATGGATAGAGGTCTTCCTACTTTTAAATAAGAAATTCTAAGGGAGGGCAACACATTTACAAATCTCATAAGAACTGAAAGATTATGATAACACAATGAGTGAAGGAGATTGGCAGCAATTGACAGTAAACTTGGGATGAGGTTGGATCCCATCATCCTTGTTAGCCTTCCAGTAGAGGACAAGACCTGAATAAAAATCTTTATGATCATCTATATCATTATTAGAGATAACTAACTTAATGTGTCTGTTGCCTTTAGCCATTTTTCACATCCCACCTTCCTGCTGCCCTTCTTCCGTGTGCACGTTGATATGGGACATGTTATTCGGATTTCTCTCTCTCTTTTTTTTGAGGGTTGTGATGCACTGGCATTCATTAACTTTAATATTAGTCCTCTTGGTTTATCCATCATATGGCTGTGCTGCTTTTTTTTTGGTGTAAAATGGAAATCAGAAAAGAGAAAGAAAAGTTAATGAGTGAAGTTGATTCTTTGAACTGAGCTGTCACAAAGTGGCCATCACAGATGGGACTCAGGAATGCAAACAGCAGATTTATTGTGCCTTAATCAATGTAGCATGATGACTGGCGAATCCAAAATTCAAGCTCATTTTGAATGAAACGTTTTTAATCATGCATGCCTAAGTGTCCTCTCAAATTTAATCAAGCTAGAATATTTTACAAAGGTTCTCCACAGTTTCAGAATGAATGTTGTGATTGTAGAATGGAAGATCAGAGGTCAGTTTGTTTTCAACAGATTTTTCTTTTGTAACCTTAAGGAGGCGTAGAAATTAATATGGTATGGCCAGACTTCCGCAGCACAGATTAGCGTGCAACTAACATTGTAACTGCTGTAAATGTTTGTGTCTCCTGGTGTCCGGACTTGAGCTGGTTTTCACTGGGTGAAACTACTTGCACGTTGGAGGCATAAGGACTAGATCTGCAACTGTATTCAGATTTGTTTAAACTGGCGACTGTGCAGTCCCATTTGAATTTGCTGATCATCAGACTCTGCCATTTCTGGTTTTCCATTATAGATGGCATTGCTTGTATCTGATTTTAGAATGGTGATTTTTATCAGGTTAGTTTAAAGGCAACAAAAGTGTCTTTTTACATGTTTTAAAGTGGTAAAACTCAGGAGAAAGAATAGGTCATTGTCCAAAGTCACGTAGTAGCTCAGCTAGAGAGCCAGATTTTCACTGTTGCCTTCCTCCCTCTCACCCCTCACCCCTTTTTGCTATCTGTCTCTCCTCCCCCACTTCTCCAGCTGTATCCTTACTTATTTATACTTTCTTCCCTAACAGAAGAAAGCTTTCATATTCATACCTACTTTTCCACTGTTTCCAACTATCAATAGTAGATGTGCAAGCAACCATTCTAAGACACAGGACTATGGCTTGAGGATTGGGAGGTACATGAGACCCCTCCTTTCCTGCTCCTGGGAAGAGAGGAAGATTATTGAAGAGTTGTCTGGAAGAGTAAAAACCTTTAAGGGATTTCAGTTATTGAATTTCTTCCTTTGCAAAATGAGTGTCTTTGTATCTGCATCAAGTTCCTGTCACAGTCTTCACTGATTAATCCTGTTGAGATAGCCAATACATCTCCTGGCTCTCCACACATATATATTGTGCTATTAGAGTATACATAGTTGTATAAATGTTAGTAAGCATTGGTAGTGATGCAGGAAGTTTTGTTTGCTCTTATAATGTGTTTTAAAAATAATACTGTGCTTGGTTAGATGAAGACAACATCTGTAATGCGTTTCTTGAAGCATATGGGGGTTGGAATAAAATTTGTTTAATTTCTAAGGAGAGGAGAAATGCGTAAGCTGAATGGAAAACACAAGCACTCTTTTTTTTTTTAGTATTTACTGTGAAATTGAGATTATGATACATCCTGCTGTTTTATGTCTACCTCTCCATATATTACAGGCCATGGTGTACAGTTGTTTAAATGTAAAAATAGGCTTGTGGTAGCTGTAGTCATTTAGCTGCAGTTTAAGGACATAGGTTTTAGTTAAAAGCTTTTATTGCATATGACCTAAAGCACTACATAGAGTTTGAATTTCACTGGGTTGTGTAAGTCTTCTGTAATGTTTTATTTCAAAGAGGAAAGAAACAACATAGCCAAGGCTGAATCTGCGTATTTTCTGAGCAGGAAACAATTTCTAGTGCATTTGCAAATGCTGCATTGTGTGAAATGTATGGAAGAAGAGTATACAATTAGTTACCTACAAAATCACACAGAGAACCTGGAGTTTATAGTTCTAAGTCCTGTTTCATGGTCAAGGATGACTTTCAAACTCCTTTTGTCACACTTAAGAAAGCTGGACCTTGTATAATGATGTTTATAGGGTTGTAGGTTTTCCCCTCTGCATCTATTTTCAGAATCACCCCAGAAAGTCAATCTAGGTGCTATGTCCTAGTGCTTAGGGATACTAATGAAAATAGCACTCCCTTTGTTTATGAACTAAGATGTTTGGACTTTTTTGCTGATATTTCAGGACATCCAAGCTGAGATTGATGCCCACAATGACATCTTTAAAAGCATTGATGGAAACAGACAGAAGATGGTGAAAGCCTTGGGAAACACTGAGGAAGCTGCCCTGCTCCAGCACCGGCTTGATGACATGAACCAGCGCTGGAATGACCTGAAGGCAAAGTCAGCTAACATCAGGTAAGTGATGAAAATGTCAAGATATGAATGGGGAACAGTCGCTGTCTTCTAAAAGGTTTGAGAAATATGACCAGGACATTGAAGTGAAATCTCTATGTTCTTTCATAAAGGACCCCTGAGCACAAATATAAAAACTTAGTGCATTTGCTCACCATGAAGGCTTAACTACTTGTTCTCTCTCCAAAGCTGCGCAGTTGTAACTTGCCCATTTGTACTAAATTTTTCAGAAAGTATGTTGAACCTTTCCTTACTGTAAATCTATAGCAATATCAATGAAGTAATTCTGTGAATCTACAGCTATTGTGAGGAGAAATCAGGGGTTTGTTGTTTCTGTTTTTTACCACTGAAATGAATAATTTGATAGGACTTGCATCGTGTCTTGATCCACATTGGGAGTAATTCTTTTTATTGCTACTATTCGATTAAGAAATGTTTTCAATTACATACTAATCTAGGAATATATTTTACAATTTTTTGACCCTGCTAGTGCCAAGCTCACTGATTGTCCAAGTGTAGTCATGGTTAAAAATCTCTGCAATGTCAGTTTGGAAGTAGATATTACCACATTCAGTAATGTGAATAAAATTCCACATTAAAGTGAATTGCATAGAAATGAATTTCTAGAGCTTTTATGTGCAACTGGTTGCTTGTTGGTTAAATGAAACTGTTCTTTCAACAGTACAAAACAATGTTAAACATTCATATGAATTTTCCAAAGGCCAGAAAAAATGACTTGAGCTTGGAATTCAGGCACAAGAGTTTGAAAGAGTGAGATAGAGGGAAAATGTAACCTTTACTTTTTGTCTCCAGTTATTCCATCACCAGCCTGCTAAATGGTTAAGTAAAACTCATAAATTGACTCCATGGAAGTCCACGAGCAGAGCTTGAACCAGAACCACCAAGAAGTTTGGTATGGGAGCTTGCAGAGACTGGTCCCACCACACAAGTAGTTTAATGCAAGAGCTATCTTGCAAAAAACTTGAGCTATTATGAGTTCGACTCACAAATAAATCAATGTGAGAAAAGAAAAAAACCATGCTCATAAGATAATAACTTAGCAACTCCGGAGTTCTAGCAAGAATAATTTGGTTGATTGGTCTTTCCTGGGGTTGATCGTAATTTGGGAGAAATTGATGGCCAAAAAAAAAGACGTTCAAACTACTTATCCTGCCCAGCTGTGAGTTCCAAGGCAGTAGTACAGAGGCAGCGATTATATGGTGAATGCTCAATAAAGTGGGAGTGCTGGCTCTTCTGAATGCAAACTCATCACTTCTGCGTAGATATGACATGTGCATCCCACTGGGCAGCATTAATGTTTGCAGTGTTTGTGTTACTCTGCTGGTACCTGCAGTGCTGCAGAGCCACGTGTCACTGAGCTGCAGTAGAAGATAGGCAGGGAAGAAGAGAATACTGGAGCAAATATGAAAGAAGTAAATTAGCCTCTCAGATCTCAGTTGCCACTGAAAGGAGCATGGCATTTCTGAGTTCATGTATTTTGCCCTGTTCTTTGATTGCAGTTCACTTTTCTAACTTGGGCAAGAGTGATAAAAACCTTCATAGGGAAATAATAAAGCATAGAACTGGTTTGAAGTCTGTGTTGATGTAGCTGTTTGCCTTCAACTTTTTATTTCTTGTTGTACCTTATTTCAAGGATGAATTGGAAAGCAAAACTCTATGGATGAGTCTTGTGAGAACAGCACGTAACCATGCTAGATGCTAGGACTGACAATTGAAAAATCTGATTGCTTTGTGATGGCATTTAGCTTGGGATAGTGCTTTGAAATTAATGTTTCTGTAAGAATTTTAGAAAGTTTTCAGCTATGTGTACATTTTGATTACATTGCTTGCTTGAAAGTACTTCTCTCCCTTTTAGGATAGTATGAGATTTTTCTTCATCACGTCATTCCTCTGAGCTGATGGTGCTAGTCACTCCGTTGGCTTGACTTCCTTGCTACTGTAACTAAAAGGGGTTCCAAACTGAAAAAGCAGCACTTTTGTGACAAAAGTTTAAATACATACAAACGACTTAAACCTGTACTTGTAGTGACTATGATGGCACCTGTGAGGACTATATCTCTCCTTGAAATTACTTGTAGACTTATTCATGCTGCTTTCTTTTTCTCTCTTTATTTTCTTATTCCCAGAAAGAAAACAAAGCTGCAGATTTGTGCAGGTCTGTCTTTTAAAGCCAAATATTTAGGAGAGATTCTTTTCTCCTAAGGCAGGAGGTGTGAGGGCGTTAGTGTTTGGGGGAAGGTAGAGGTGAAAGTATGGGAGAAACAGAAGGCTATTTGGACCACCCACCAATCTTTTTTACTCCAT